TCAGTCCATCTACATCGCTCAGCTGGACAGTGACCCTCGGCTTGCGCTGCTTGCTTGGGATGATGCCGTCAGAGGCCAGGAAGACCAGGAGGGAGGTGGGCACTGCAGGTCTCTCAAAGCACACCTGGGCAGGAGGGCAAGAGAGACCCTGAGAGCACACATACCAAATACAGCCTTTCTGATCCCGTATATGCAAGAAGGAGAGAAAGAGGGAGCACGGTGAGAGAGGAGCAGCAGGGTTAGGGGGTCAGAGACTCCAGATATGCAGAGCATCAAATGGGTGGGAAGAGAGAGAGGAGGGAAGGAAGGGTGCAGGAACTCACTCCTTTCCCTCCTAATTCCCTTTGGCTAGTCTTCCCCAAGTGTACCAGTCCTGCCTTGCCATAAATTTATGGCATCTTCCTAGCTTCCACATTTCCTGCTTTTAAAATTGAGCAAGACCTGACTGAGACCTGGATAACCCCTTTTCTGCCCTTCCTTCACCAGGCTCCAACTCCCACCCTATGCAGTGCCAGCCGGGTAAGCGAGCCACCCAGAGACCACAGCTACCACCCTCACTATCAAAATATTTCCATTAAAAAAACCCCCAAAGAATGGCCTCAGTACCCAGAGTGACTGCAAACTGTTTGTCAGCCAACATGTGGAAAGATTTGTGGGAAGGAGCCCTGCCTGCTAAGAGAGCCGACAGCTCCCCACTTGTCTACAGCCCCGAAGGCTACAGGAGGCAGCCGGGAAACTCGTGGCATCAATCATGGCAGGGCAGATATTGTTTGGAATTAAGAAGAGAGAAATATTTTTCTTCTCCACCCTGGTACCCCCCACCCAGTGCAGAGATGTGTTTTGACCAAGATCCACCCTATGGAGTGTTTTTGTTGAATGCCCAAGAAAGTCAAGACAAAGGTGTATTCCGGAGGAGGACAAGTCCCAGCTGGCCGGGCACAGCCCAAGGAGCAGACTGCGGGAGCGGAGAGGACAACCACCTGATTTGCGATGGCAGCCCAGCCTTGGGGTGCTTCATGCCACACCAGGTATTGCTCATGCATGGAAGCCAGAGAAAACTTTGGGCTTCAGCCCAGGGCTCCCATCCTGCAGGGAGGTGCTCGGCAGCAAACACCCCACGAGCGTGTCCCCGCCGCTGCCTACACGCTCCCTTGGCCAGAGCCTGCTCTCACCAGGGCTGGCCTGGCTGCCAGGGGTGGACCAGGAGGCTCAAACATTTTTATTTGGTACCTCGCCATTGTCCCCCTTGGTGAGAAAAGGGTGGGGAGAAAGGAAAAGAAACAGGAAAGCAAGAAGGGAGGAAAGATGAAGAAGAGCCAGCAGTGCTCCCAGCCTGCTCCGAGGAGCCCCCCAGGACAGAGTTGCAGTTGGGAAGCCCCAAGGAGTCAGCCGATTTTAACCCAGCTACCTGCTGCATGGTTCCTCGGGAGAAGAGAGGTGGTTGGAGAAGTCAGGTGGGGCTTTCCCTGGGCGACACAGCTTAAGGTGGAGGGTTTAGTCTTTCCCTTCCTACAGTGCACCTACTTGGAGGTGAAGGACACTGGCCCTAAGTTAGACCAACAGCAGCTGACTGACTGACACCCCAAATCTTTTTTTTCTTTTTAATACATATTACATGCTTGACCACAGTGGGCTATCTTTATTTTTCTCCCTCCCTCTCCCCCTTTCTGTTTAATTTCCTGCATGTTATACATCCTGGCTTGCTTACAAGTGATTTTGATTTCTCTCCTCATCAGATGTGTTAGAAACAGAACAAACCATGGCTGGAGATCTACAAATCACAACGATTCCCGTCTGCAAGCACACCCAAGGTGCACGGTAGATGCTTCGTTCGGTGGCACAGACACACACACACACCCCTCTGGCCCCCAGCCTACTTACGGCATGACCCGGCCTTTCCCTTGCTCATTGGTGCCACCTCTTGAGAAACACTGTAGGAAGTGATTCCTACCACCCGATGGGTTTTGTGGTGTGGTTCTAACCCGGGTGACACAAGTGCAACAGCTTTAAAACGGCCACGGGAGTTGGTGGCCACGAAGCACCGCGCACACGTGGGTATGCATGTGCACGAACAGCACCGCTCCTGTCCGGGCAGGCGGGTGTGCTAGGCAAATTGTCAACAAGAAGCTGTCTTTCCTAACTCAATATGTTACCAATCAGGCAAACTCTATTAAAAAAAAAAAAGGAAAAAAGAAAAAAGAAAAAGGGCATATTTATTACTAGTCCATAAATAATTTTATGGGCGGAAAATAATAGCACTCCTAGAGAGAGCACGGAGAACCAGTAATGAAAGTCTTTAATATAAACATCCATAGAGGAAGAGAACTGACCACAAGCTCCAATAAAACTGGAACATGCTTTAACCCCTGGTGAGAACTGGAAAGCAAGCTTTCATCTAGGTAGGGCAGAGCAGGAGATTGCTCCTTTCTCACTAGCAAAGGAAGAAAGGAGGCACCTTTGTCCTGGCCAGAGACTGAAGCTGGAAAGCAGGTTGTGAGCACATAGACAAGGAAGAAAGGAAAAAAAAAAACCAAACAGTTAAAGGAAGTTCTTTGGAGAGCCGGAGCACCTCAGAGGCAATAGCCATTGACTCAAGTTTGACGATTCACTAAGTCATCTGAGTGCCTTGGGAAGAGGTCCTCTCTAGACAACCTTGAGCAAAGCAGGGCAAGGTGCTCCTCACACTGCCGAGGAAGCAGCACACCAGAGCCCGGCTTTCCAGTAACACCAGGCAACAACCACGAAACCTCTAAACTGGGTCTGTGATTAGACAATCAACACTGTCAAAGTCACGTTGGTCTAACCCCCAGCTCTCCTCTTCCTGCCGGGACAGAGAGGTCTGACCCTCCCAGTACCCTCCCAACGGCAGCGTCCCAGACATGGGGGCATGTTGGGCATGATGTTGGGCTGCAGGACCAGCATCTTGGGCACAGAAGTGCTGCGTCTTTTCATCTGGAGTCACCGGAGGGCAGGAGGACCTGCATGCCACAGCTGATTGCTGTGGGCTCAGGGTGCTCAGCAGCAACCTGGAGTGCTCAGGACACCTCAGGATGGTAGAGTATATCCAGCTACCCTCTGTAGCTCTTCGCAGCCATGTGGAACAAAGGTAACTAAGACTTTAAAAACGGCTTGTTCTCAGCCTTTGCAGGTGTAACGGCACAGCTTGACTGCAGGGGATAGTCAGGAACAAGTTGTTTCTCAGTCTCACATTTCTGTGGGCTTCTGGTTTTGGGCACAGCCCCTCTCCTGGCAATCTGCCCCAGGATGGGTTTGCCGTTCACAGTGGGAATGGGGCAACTACATAAGACCCAGCCACAGGCATCTGGGGTTTGCAAAGAGATCTGTAGCATATGAAGTCCTATCTGAGCAGTTTTTAATACTGCTGTAGTTCCTACAGGACAGAAAAGGATGGGTCTTTGTCACCAAAGTGTCAGGGCAAAGACAAGCAAATCCTTCTGTGCCTGACCACACATCCTCACTTACCTTGAGCCAAACTCCCTCATCACCCAGAGGCGTCCTCTCCTCATCTGGATCCTGAGCATTGTCTGGGTTGGGAGTGCAGGGGAACCAAGCAACCAGGGAAAGTTCCTTTGGCACATCGTGAAGGTGGGATTTACACATCTGAAAGGAGAGACTGATTTCAACCGAGAAAGAAGCAAGGAAAGTGAGAAACGGCATCTACAAAACCTCAAGGAAGACTCAAACATTGAGAAGGATCCCTAGCTGGTTCCTAGCATGAAGACAATTAGGATGTGGGCTCCTAAGCACAAGTGACATCCCGCCGCCCACACATGTGCAGAGGAGGCCTTTGCCATTTCCAGGTGCTGTAAATATGCTGTTTGAGCACCCCACGCTGCCCATGGGGCTGAGAAAGAAATAATGAACCAAGCTGAGAGATGGTAGGTAAGACCACAGCCTCCTGATTTTGGCTGGGTTGATGAGATCCGAAGGCGTGGTTCATTTGCCTGAATACCAGTCTTCTGTGCGATTTGATGCCCTATGGTATCCCAGATATTCCCATAGGCCTGACAGACACAACCTGAGAGATATGTGTGTCATTCTAGAGGAGCAGACACCTGAGCCCAAGGCATCTCATTAGACTTGTACATCTGGGCAATTTAATCATGCTGTAGGGCTCAAGAAGATTGTTCCTAATATCAGGTCAATAGAAACGCATGTATAAAGGGCTAAATATGACCTCTCAACATATTTCTTGCCCTTCTTCAGCTTGCTAGAAAAGAACATACACACATCTTGTTAACACTGATGAGGCGAGATCCCATCCTAGACCTCCAGGCCCTGCTCCAAAGCCCATATGAAAGATGGGAATTCTCCCATTGATTTTTCCTTGGCTTCAGATCAGAGAGTTTGAGAGCAGCACAGATGCTGATGTATGCATGATTTATCCTTTCAGGCCTCGACCTTATAAGATATTAGACTTACAGGATTTTATTTTTTTTTTAAACCAACAGTGGGATTACTCACATACTCAAAGTTGTGCATTTAGCTGGTGGGATGGAGGTGATCACTGTTTAGCAAGCCGCACGGTCAGGGGAGGTGCTCTTTGCCTTGATGAAACACTCTTCCATGTACTGCAGTCCCTGGGCTTAGGGACTAGTGAAAGAAGGGTGTGAGAAATGCCCAGGTCTTCTACTGGCTCCCTGCGTGGGCATATAGTCAACAATGAACACTTCCAGAGCTGCTCTGAAGATTTTGGTTTTGCCTCATTACACTCTTGCAGCAGTGACTTCCCCAGCTTTACTGCATGGGCTTTGCTAGAAGTCTTTTTTTTTTTTTTTTTAGCTATGCCTTCACTCACCTTCACAACAGGCTCTCCAGTGGCCAAGGAAGCAGGGCATGACTTTGCATCCTCATGGGAGGCGTAGGCTTTTGCTGCCCACAGATCCATGTATTTTTTTGGGACCACAATCCAGGACACTGCTTGTCTTCTCGAATGGCTCACATACCCCGTCTCCATTGTGCACGTAGCACAGGCTTGGTTCCCCTGCAAGGAGACCAGGGATGACCCCTTTACAAACCAGGCTCCAGGCACGTACATCTCCTCCTGTCCCAGGAGGTCTGCTGGCTGTTTAGCCCTGAGATTTCCTACCACAAGAGCCTGACAAGCTCCATGGATCACTCCAGCTGCAGTGACTAATCCACTCACCGACACAGTTGAAGCCTTTTTCCTTTTTACACCTCCTGGAACAGCCATCTCCATCCAGCAAGTTCCCATCATCGCATTCCTCCTCCAGGCTCCTAAGAGGACAACAGCCAGATGTGTTAACACCACCCTTGACTCAACACTCCAGTGCTTCTGCCCAGTCATGAGTGAGGACCCCGTATCTGGCTTCCCTTTCCACAGAAGCAGGGAGAAGAGGAAGAACCACGTATGTGGTAAGGTAGAGGGGTGAAAATACCGTATCTTGCCAGGGAATAAAAAGAGGTTGAAAACACAGCATATGGGAGAAGGCATGACTGTACTGTGACTTTCTTATAAGACCTGAGGCAAGAACTATGGGAGAAGCAGCAGCTATATACAACAGAGGAAGCAGAGAATCAAGCACCAGGAAGACTTGTTGCTGGAGGAAGCAAGCATTGGAGAGGGCAAGAGGTTCAATGTTTCAGTGGGAGCTGGAGAAGGGGAGGCAGGAGAAGGGAGAGATAGAAGGTTAGCCCAAGAGAAGACAAGAAACAGCCCCCAGCTGATCTCATGAGGAAAAAAAGCCCATGCAATTTCCTTGAAAAGATTCTGTCCCCATACTGCAGAAAATAGACCTCATGGGAAAAGCTGGCAGAAATGCTTCAACTTGTACCTATTCATTTCTGCACAGAGTTACATATCTCAAAACACAAGGGGCAAAAATATCTTCTGGCGTACACCTTGTAATGCTCACCAACCTCCACCCTTATCTAACATGAAAGATCAACTGTGTCTTGTCTTCCCGTCTTTAGCTCACTGTTCCAGACATGGTACAAAGGAAAAAAACTTTCACAGACAAAGCTTCCCGCATGGCCTTCCCCACAACAGCTCACGAACAAGAAAGCCTGCCAAAAATCTCAGCTGCCATCTGCCCATTTCGGCTCCTTTTACTTATGTATCAAGTTTGACAACAGAACCTAACGTGGTCATTTGCTCTCTCTGGACCAAGCCTTCAGCTAGTATGAATTCACGCCAAAGCCATACCAGATTACACCACTTTAGCAGCTAGCCCTGCTGTAAGCGTCTTTGCCTTGCTGGATCTTGTACAATACTGCAATCCCTCCCGCACTTACTTCAATTGTCCTCTTTGCTCACACTGTTAAGAAAACTGTTTTCAAAGGAAAGCAATTCTGAGTAACCTGGAAGTTGAAGTCTGAAAAAGCTATAATATGGAAATTTGGTGTAATTATCTTCAGATGGAACAAGTGAACCATTGGAGTCTCAATGTAGATGTGGTGCACCCTTCATCATTTGGGGTCTCTAAGCAGAGACCAGGCAGCTCTCTAAAGGCACCACACCATTGGGGACTGTGCTTGCTGCGGAGCCTACTCCTGCAGGGCCACCACCATGCACCCTGTACAAAAGGTTATATTGGCCAGTCCCAAAGTGGATCCCCTTTGGAGTCCGGCTCCGCGACAGCTCGCTGAGATGTGCTGGAATCTAAGCACTGCAGTCAAACACAGAGGATGTTCAGGTTGGATCCCTCATCCACACATTGCTTCTCAAAAAAGATCATCTCCATCTCCTATGCACGTGGCATTTTACAAAACAGAAGCTCTATAGTCCAGTCTGCTGGAAGGATTCAGTGCAGCATCTTCAGCCAAGTACCCACGGGTGGAGGACCAACCCGGTGCTTCCCTTTGGGGCAGGATGACCTGACAGCTTAAAGAACCTCAGCCAAGAGCTTGAGTTTCCTGGACTTACGTGGTCACCTTCCCATCCCCACAGTAGGGTGCTCCATGGACATGGACGAGTGGTGGGGAGGCTTCTCCTGAGGTTGTCCCAGAGACTGCCTGCACCTGGTAGTGGTACACCTGCCCAGGCATGACTTCCCTGCAGGAACAGAGAGGACTTGAAGAAGGAGCAGGAGGGAACAGCCCACCCATACATCCGCAAGAGATTTGCTCACCACAGCTATAGAAATCACGTGTGTGTGCCCATGCAGTGTCACAGTTTGACCTATGTCTTCATGCTCTACACTGCCAGAGGCAGAGACTGTGGGAAGAGGGTCTCTGCCAGGCCGTGCAGAGGGGCCTGCTCCTTATTTCCCTAGGGTCTGAGCTGGGGAGAAGTGGCATCACCTTGAACAATCATTTTACTGGTTGTGTTGATGGGGAAAGTGTTTTCAGGTTTAATAAAGTCCTAGTTAGCCTGGGCTCATGGGCAAGGTTTGTGCTAGCATGATGGGTCTGCAACAAGCTTCCTCAATGCTGCAGGGAATCCACTCATGGCACTGAACACAGTAATTCCTGGGATGGGGTGGTGGGAGTCGGGGGGGAACCAAAACACAAGCAAAACCATCTAGGGATTCAAAGGCAGGACCTCAGGAGGTCATTGAACCTGTCCCAGCCACCCGCTCAGCCTGCGACAGAGCAACCTCGTCACTCACGTGTCGACGAACTGGCGGTGTGCCTGTGCCGGGATGGTGGGGGATCCGTTTGCAAATGGGGGGTTGCGGAGGACTCGGTACTGGATCAGCTTGCAGGCAGAGCAGAGCGAGCTGTGGGGCATGGAGGTCAGCAGGGCCGTGTCTATCTCCATCCTCTCATCAAAGGTGTAGATTTTGACTCCGGACACCTTTTTAGGGATGTTGAGCTTCACGGTAAAGGGGACATCACAGAAGGTGTCCAGGGGGCCCAGATGAATGGACTCCCCCTGCTCTGTCAGGACTTCAATGTCAGACAGTGCCTTGGGAGAGCCCGTGGAGAGGTATGTGGTCCAGAGGGTGAGGGAATCGGGGTAGACGGGGTGCAGGAAGCGCAGCTCCAGGATGCAGCCATCCGGCTGGGGGCACGGCACCGTCATGTTCATGTGGTATAGGTGGAGCTCCGGACTCCAGGCCTGCAGGCTGGGCTCACAGGGCTGATCCACGTCCGGGGGCCCTGGGCAGGAGGGACGAGGAGGAGGCTGATGAGAACCAGGGGGACAGCTGACCTCATCAGGGGACCCAGAGGAGCGATCCTCCCTGCAGTACCCCACAGGTCCTTATGCGTCTCTGTGCTATAGCTGCACACACGCATGGTTTTGCAACCACTGCAGGCACGTGCCAGAGCTGGTGGCATCTGCCCCAACACCCTAGAAAGCAATAAGCATCACTAGTGCACCTAGAAAGCGTACAAGGCAGATCCGACGTCTCACAGCCCTCTCAAACAGTGACAATGGCATCCACGCTGCAGCTGGTCGCAGTGCCAAGCTCTAGAGACAGCCTGGACACAGCTGGGGGACATGAAGCTTGCTCTGCACTCTCATGGGCACAGAAGGCTTGCCAAGGGCACCTGAATTTGGCTCTCTGGGTTTGCGCATAGACTGAGCAGAGACCGAAAAGCGTTCCACAGGCACGTGCTGGAACAGGTCCCAGGCAGGAAAGGACCAGGTCCAAAGCAAGCCAGGGAAGCAGTTCTGGAAGGCTGTTCTTCCTCCAGGGCAGTGCCCAGGCTGACCTCCCGTGGTGGTGGGTGAGCACTCAGCAAGAGAAATGGAGCCTTGGGCTTTCAGCCTCAGAAAGCATCATTGGAATTCACCATCCTGTAGTGGAAATAACCCTTGTCTTCATCAACCACTGCAGGCATTTCTTAGGGCCCAGCACCAATGCAAAGCCTGCATCCATTTAATATCAGTCTTCTAAAAAACATAAAGCCTGTCTTTTTCACCAGAGCAAACATGCACTTGGGATAACCGCCGGTCATGCATAGGAGAAAACAACATCCCATAATCCCAGAAGCAGTTTTAATTTGCCAGTGAATCAGACAAGCGGGGGAAAACAGGAACCATGGACAATGAATGAGCTAAGCTTTGATTTGTTTGGTATCGCTGAATAAGCACAAATGTGATTATTTTTTTTAAGCTGATTTTTTTTTTCCACCCCCTCAACTTGCAATGCTAGCAAGGGATACTTGAAGCATTTTCAGACACAGAATCTCAGCTACACCCTGACACCGCTGTTCTCAAAGGATAGGCTACATCCCAAAGGTGTAATAATGTCCAAACTCCACTTTCTCTGCAACTACCCTGGCACATTTTCAGTTGACCTCGGTGGCTCAAACGTGCCAATGCACAGAACTAACAGATCCTCTGGCTCCACATGGTCCCACAGCAGCGTGTGCACTACGTACAGCTCACGGCATCATTTCACCTGGTCTCCTGCCTCCTCTGCTTTGGCCTTCGAGGAATTGAGGTAGCGTGAAAAGCCCAACAGATCCTGTGGCAGTTGCATGACCCTGAAAGTCACCATCATGCCCACAAGGTGGGTCTCTAAACCAACATCTGGGTCTCAGCACAAGAGACATTGTAACACCCTGCTGTTCACCTTGCCAGCGAGGAATTGCTTCCAACCCAGATAGGCCAGGACTTGGTACAGACTCAGTGGGACCAAGCAAGAAGCTCCTCTTGCTCCCTTTGGACAAGGCTGCATCAAAGCCTACGAACCTCCCTGAGGTTTTGGATGAGGTCCCAAGGTCTAAGTTGTAAGACCTATTTCAATGAAATGCTCCTCCCTTTTGACCAGTATCTCTCATTAACACCTTCCTGGGCAAAGACTGAGGTTGATATTGGGGTGTCAGTTTGTTTGTCCAAAGCCAGCTGGCAGTTACCAGGTGTCTCCTGGGCACCTAGAATTCCTTTCTGCACTAAAGAGCCTCCCCAAAGAGGAGACATCTCACACTCTAGAAGAAAAAAAAAAAAAAAGCTTCTTTTTCTTTTCTCAACAAGATCTCATCTCTGTCCGGGAAAATCAGAGCCAGGGGAAGAGAGGAGGTGTTTACCTTCTGCTTCTTCTGGGGTCCAGTAGCCGGAGGAATCGCAGACCCGGGGGGAAGAGGCCTCGTGCACATACTGACGGAAGGTGCCATCCTCCGCACAGTTGTCGCAGATCGTGTCCTGCTCCCTGCAGACAGAAGACAAAGGAGTTGGCATGTCTAATCACTACCGGTTAATTTTCCATCCAGGTTTGTCCAGGCAGGATCAGATGGGAAATTCAAAAAGCAAAGCTAAGCTCTTGGGAAGCCCCTGGGCACATCATTCTGCTTGGAATAAGCTTTGTCAAAGACAGGAGAATAAGAGTGACCATGGGACAAGCTGAGTTTAATCCCTCCTCTTCTACAGGCTCTCTGGGTACTCCTGGATAAGCCATTAAATTGCCTGTTCCCTACCCATGAAGCAGAGTTAACAGACTTCATGCTTCCCAGGGCAACGCCTCTGCAGTTGGGTGGGTCTATCTCTGCTAAACCCCAGAGTCAGGTTTTTGGCTTTTGTCAGTACCGGAATACAAGACAGTCACAATAATGTCAATTAAAGGGGGTACCACTGTGCTCTCCAGGAAAGAAAAAGAGACTTTTCTCTGATAAGGACCAGCCTCAGGCCCTTTCCTTGGCACGTTCATCACAGGGGATGTAGAACCCCCACTGTGGACCCGCTCCTGAGCCGGTTATGAGCAAGAGCCAGGGATGGATCTGAAGAGCCAGCACTGGCCTCCTAGACCTGTGTTTTCCTGCCCCCAAACCACTCCATTCCCCACCAAAGCAGTTTGTTTGGATGACTTCAGGCCACCCAGTACTCGGAGGCTCTCATTCCTGCGGGGATAAGAGGTACACGCTCTCGTTATCCCTGGCACAAAAGGTGCATCGTGGAGAGCATCAGTTCTTTGAAAAGGCAGTAAACATTGACCCAAAGTTGTTCCAGTTGCCCGTAAACACCGCTTCTCTTTGAATTACAAGAGCTTCGTGAAGTATCTTTAAAACAATTTCAAGAGCCCTTTAACATATGCTTATGGTCCTGCAATAAAAGCATAGAGCTAAAGCCTGGTGGAAACCAAAATGTTTTAGTAAGAGGGGCTGCCGAATAGAGGCATCGGTGGCATGTCCAGGTCTTGGTGACTCCCCAGTTTTGGGGGGAGAAGGAAAACAGCCACCTGGCACTCAGGGCCACGTGCTGCTTACCAGTCAGACAACTCTGGTTCTTCAGCATCATTTCTCTGGCTTGAAAAGTTTCCTGACTTACCCCCAGTTAGTTACACCATGAGTTCGTGACAGCACTGGGAACAAAACCCAGCTCTTGCGGTTTGAGCTCCCTGCCTTAACCACAAGGCTGCATTTCCTCCTGGTAAATGGCTATTTTATACAATAAGTGCTAAATGAAGCTCATTTTTCATTCCCTGATTACACTCTGGGGTTTAAGAATTGGCATTGCCTCCCAACGCTCTTTGGCTTCCCCTCTCAGCACCCCGACAGCAGAAAGCTTGCGGGAGAGCCCATGTGCCAGCAGGGCCATCGCAGCAGCCTGGCTTTTGTCTCTGAGGGCTCTGCTGGAGACGATCGAGGGGTAAGGAGATGGAGGGGGGATCTGCACCATAAAGGATCCCTTATCCCTTCTAGCCAGCTCCTGTGCAAGCCCAAGACCCATGGCAGCAGCAGATCCCTTACCTTTCGTGGATGACATTGCTGATGGGAGGCAGCCAGTAGATGCTGAGGGAGTTCTGCGTCTGCCCCGTGACCATGGGAGGGATCGGGATGGGTGCGGGCTTCTTGCTCTGGCCCCAGCGCTGGTACACCAGGTCCAGGTAGCAATGCATCCGAGCCACTTGGTTGGGGGTAAAGGTGTTGGTGCAGTCATCATCTGAGGGAAGAGAGACCAGGCTGAGGGATGGGTCAGCAGGGCACGGCAGCATCCACCCTTCCTGATCTCCAAACTCTTGTTTTGAGGACCTCTAAGGAGACCCCAGCGTGTGGTGGCCCTCCCACCAGGACTTTCTGGTGTCGTATGTCCCCAGAGCCACAAGATGGCACTGCCTCAGCACCGCCACGTCCTGCACTTGCTCAAGGCCAGCTCACACCAGCCCTGACGCCTGGGCAGTGCCACCATCCTCATGGGATGGGCAGTGGGTCGGGTCAGCAGAGGGGGACAGGACTGCCCTTCAGGCTTTGGTCCTCTGCGGCACGCCTTTGGAGACCAAGCCAAAAGGGCTCTACTCGAGGGTGAAAAATTATAATAGTAGTAGTAGTAGTAGTAATAAACAGTAGTCATCATAAAGTTGCTTCAGGACTGGAGACTGAAGGCACACGGCCGTGCAGACAAGAACGGCCTTGATGCATGTCCAGTGACAGACGGGCAGGGAAGGATGGAGAGAAACAGCCTGCACCAAGAAAGGGACTAAGAAGCTACCGCCAGCACAGGGTGCAGCCTGCCACATCCCAACGCACCAGGAGGGACCACCTCCGTTAGGGAAGGAGGGAAGGGACTATCCATGGAGGCAGAAGGGAGAGACACCCAAGTTTCTAGGGAAGGTGACTCCTTACAGTTTCTAACGATGGTCACTCATTACCTGTGTAACTCATGTAGTTGTTGAAGGGTGTTCCTGTGAAATGCATCTGGCCGCAGGTGTCATTGGTAGGGTCTGGATCCCGACAGAGTTTACTCTTTGGGGTGGGGGCAGTGTCGGCACAGAGGTCTCCCGTCTCCATAGACGGAGTTGTCTCCCTGCAGGGATCGTCACAAGATTCCCGCTCGCTCACTCCCTTAAAGACATGGTACAGTCCCAGGACATGTCCCACTTCATGGATCATGGTGTTCGTGTGGCCGTGCATACCATAATAAGCAGGGTTGAGGACAACTCCACCTAGAATTGCAAGTACAGAGAATATCAGCCAGAGAAAGAGATAGCCAGCAGCCGCTGTCACTCACCTGTGCTAGGTAAAACTCCTCTCATTGTGCTCCTAGGTCACCAGTGAGGTGCCAGATGGAGACCTGAAGATGGATGTATTCATCCTCTTGTGGGATGGGAAGAGGGCTCCTTTGCCCTCTTGGAGTGGAATGGGGTGAGTGCTTTTTCTTCCCCTTCTGATCACACCACTCCCCCCAACATCTTCAATCGTTTCAGCTACCGTTTCTCTCTCTGTTTTTCTGCTTGTCTATAATTCAGTGTCTGCTTTGGTTCACGCTTACAACTCCAAATGAGGTTTGGAGCCAGGGCACCAAACCAAAACCTGCTGTCAGTTTACAGGGATAATCTTTTCAACCAGAGGATAGAAGACCTTCCCTAGCCTAGGCAGGTGGTTAAAGCATGCCAGCTCCCACGAGGTGCCTCGCAAAGTCCTGACACGCTTGGCTGTGCCAACTAGAAGCCACCTTCAGCACAAATCCATGTGAAGATTCAAATGCACTGCCTCTGGTCCTTACTGAGAAAACATCCAATGATCTATTGCTTCAACCTCCAAACTAGACTCTAAGGAGTAAACTAAAACTCTCATGAGGTGCTGTTGCAACCCACTAAGCTTCTATCACAAACCTGACCCAAATTCACTGTGTATTTTACAGTGGGATTCCCCAAAACGCAGCTTCTGAAGATCCCTTCCTCCCCTTCAGAGGTGTTTGCGTGTGGGCAAAGTGCACCAAGTGAACCAGGTGAGAACCCCCCACCCATCATAGTCCTCCTCCTCTTCACCAAGGCACCCCAGCCCCTTGACTCAAGGGGATACAAAGGGGCAGGTCGTTTCCAAGCCAGTTTGGTGCAGGTTCAACTGTCAATGATGCCAGCTCATGGGTACAGACTAAGTCCCCCAGAAACAGTCCAGAGCTGCCACCTCATACTGACAGCAACAGCATGCAGCTGGATGGGACCCACACTGATCTTGCTCTAAGCTGCCGCTTGGCTGCCTGACAAGGTGCTTTCTCCTCTCCTGCCCACCCACCTGTGATGGAAAGAGCAAGGATCAATGATGCTGAGGAAAGGCAGGCGGAGCAGAGCCTTCCTTTTGCTCACTGCCAGCATCTCCAGCTCCTGACCTGGGATGCACACCCTGTACTGACAACTCTGTATCACATCTGCTGGGAAACTGTCCACAGAGGATGGTCAAGAATAAAACTTACCTGTCTTCTCTGTCCTCCTTTTATTTCTTTATTCTGCCCAAATGAAAATCTCTTTGGAAGCTCTGCATTTTTCGCCCTGCTTTGAGGCTTTTCATTGGCCATTTCCTCCCCTTTCCTCTTCTCATTTCCTCGCTCCATCCACTTTTCCACGCTGCCTTGCGGCGGAGGAGCAAGGGCTGGGCAACATCAGCAAGATGAGGGGGCAAAAAGCAGAGCCTAGCAAGTGCCCAGGCTGACTCCAGGCAATACCTCTATGGCATGGGAGGCTGTTTTTACCCAACTACTTTTAACCCAGACAGCTTGGATGGCAGTGCAGTGAATAGTTGGCTCCTGCACAGCTTGCTCCTCCTTTGCAGGACCCTGGAGGATTTACCGTGCCAGCTACCTCACAGCAGAGCCTCTGCTACTGCATTTCTGCTGCTCTTTGCTGCCTCTGCCAGCAAAGTTAAAATTGGCAGAGGGCCACCGTGTGATCCTGCCTCCAGTCACAGCATAGCCTGCTTGAAATCTGCTCCTGGATCAGCTCCGTGCGCTACTGGACTAACTCATGTCCTCAAGCACAGGGCATTCCTTCCAAGAGAGGGCTTTCTTCAGATCACCGTGTCCCTGGCAGGACACCAGCAGGTCTGACTCCTCTGATGGAGCCATGCTGGGTGAACACTGGGTTCGGGCTGGAAAGGAACCTTCAGAGATGCCCTGAACAATTCTCTTGAGCCCAACAGGGTTGCAAGAGGGTGAAGAAATAAGGGTTGCATATCCTACAGAGCATCCTGCATGTGTGGCTCAGGGAAGGGCTGAGAGACACCACTGACCTGTCAAGTGGCACTGCGTCTTAGCTAAAAATTCATGTTTGTTGTTCTTCCTCCCCACAGCGTGGATCTTATGCCCCGGGCAGCTTGGCTTGAGGCAAAGGATAGGTCACAAAGTAGCTGCATTCCCTTTCTCCCCAGCTGTAAAACACCAGAACAGAGGACTTTGTATCCCATCAGTCAGCTCTTGACCCTTTAGTTGACTGGAGATGGGCCACAAGAAGGTACAGACATTGAAAAATCCGTTTTGTGGATTCATGTTGTGTCCTGTCAATCATTAGGTTTTTGCAAGCCATCCCCCTCTCAGTTACCACATTGGTAAATGCTACAGATAGCAAAGGGCATCCCATTGATGGAGAACCCAGTGGGCACATAAAAAAAAAGCTGTTTCTTATTTTAATCAAAACAGGACATGAGAGAACAGAAAGAAAAGGCATCTCTGCAGCCAAACCCAAGCCTGAGCAAGGCAGGGGGCTGCCTGCCCAAAGGTCTGAAAGAAGGCATGTACATGCAGAAAGAAAAGAGTGTTCATAAACAAATAAATGAGATGTGAAAGCCCTGCACACATCCTGCAGCGCTAAACACAAGGAACGGGTCTGAGCACCAGGGGCACGGGAGGCCCTTTGACCAAGCAGCCCTCCTCCCAGTAGAAACCTCATTGTCGGGGAATAAATGGGATTCCAGTACAAGGAGGGAGAAAACTGTCACAGGGGAGGGATGCCCAAGGCTGGGATACCCTGTCCTTCCTCCGCCTCTCTGCTGGCTTCCTCTATCCCATTCCTTCCCCACACTCCACAAGGGCGATCGTATTTTCAGTACTTTTTTTTTTTACAGCTAATTAGATGGCAGGATTAGAACCAGCATGAGAACTCTGCTTTCCTTCCAGAACATCCCTGTCCCTCCATTCCCTATCCCCACAACTCCCTGATGAGCTGGGAGAGCTCCCAGCTTTGGACCAGGAAGTTGTATTTCCCCTCTGCAGGGTCCTGGTTGTGAAGCCAAGATGTGGAAGTGTTCGTAACATCCTGACAAGACCAGCCTCCCTACTCCCTCCTCTGCAGATCAGGCTTGCTTTCTCATCTCTGCCTCTTCCTGCCCTGAGAGATGGGCTAAATCGGGTTTTAAGTGAACTCTCCCTCTCACGCCTGCAATCTGGCCCAAGCAGGTCAACCACAACGAAGCTAAAAGCTTCAACGTCATGTCCCCGTGACATCAAGGGGGTCCAGCACTCCAAGGCAAGTGAACCAGCGTCTTCTTTGGACTTGTTCACCCAACTGAGGCCAGGCAGTTGGAAAGCTTCAGGTCTGGCCTCACAACATCCTCTCCCTCCAAACCAGACCTACCAGCTACAGCTGCAGAGCTGGTCATGTCCTCAAGATCAAGCCTCAACCCTACTCAAGCAACAAGAGAAGCCCAGTCCATCAGTACAGTGAATGATTAGCACTGGTGTGGACCTCACTTCACCTTCATTCACACGTTGCCTTGAAAGCTCCCAGTCCCAGGACGTTGCCCTACTTCTAGCCATGATCAATGGCAACGCTGAAAGACTCTGGTTCAAGCCAGCCCCCAAGAAGCCAACTTGTTCCTGAGTCAGGGCTGTTGTAGAGAACACATGCTCAAGTGAGCAGGGGATCTTTAAGGAGCAAACCACAAAGCTGAACCTGTATCACAGGGCCAGTCCTCCCCAAACACTGAGTCACGGCAATTAATGGAACAAACGCATGACGGTTAGTCAGACAGGAAGATGGCCATTGCTTAAGATACCTTTGATGGAACGGCTGGCCCTCCGTCAGGATCCACTGACCTCAGCCAGATATATGAGCTGGCCTCAGCTTATATAACTGCAGAAGGTATTTATAACATCAAATATTCGCAGCTCCCTTGCCTTTCAACCATATTTATGCAAATACAGTTCACATGCAGCTACACATGAAGTTTAAAGCGTCTGCACTATTACATTGCTGGGCTTTTTGAGGCAAGGCTTTCCACTGCGGAAAGCTAAGTTTTTTTAAAGGACAGGAGTCCTTTGACTCCTTGTGTTTTGTAGTTAAAAAGATTTACTTCTAAGTTCTCAGAAAATTCATTCCAGACTCCAAGCAAGAACTCTGAGTTTGAAAGGAACTCACTGTGATGAGGGTGGAAAGACTGAGACAGACAGCATGGTTGGAGGAGCGGTGCAAACAGACCTGAGATCTTCTACCTCTGCCACTAGCTAGCTGCAAGTTGTCTCTGTCTAGGAGCTCCACAGCAGCTGAAATACTGCCTATAGAAGTGCCGTAGATGAGTTCATCCTCTGCAAGTCAGTAATTCTCTCTTATACTTCAATGACTGTAGTTGCTGTTGGTTGGTACTAACACTGGTCTAAAATGGTGAACAATCCCTAAACTTTCAGGAAGGCTGCCTGAAATTCAGATTTACTCAGGAAAATAATCTGGAGGAGAGCAATAGATCTGTAAGGAACGGTCACTTAATTCCCCGTAGCCCAAAATAAGCATGGGTGAAGGGAAGGGGATGAAAAACAAAGTTCACTGAAGACTTCCAGAAAGTGAAGAGCACCTCCTCACAGGAAGGTGAGGAGCACCCTCTTGAAAGACACACTCAAAGGTCATGAAAGAATGGTTTCTAAGGAGTTCAAAGTCCAGACAGCAGATTAAAAAACATCTAGAGAAGAACTGACGGAGAACAGTTTGGAAACAGTATGTTTAGTGAGCTTTGGGATGAGAGAAAGTGTTACAATAGAAGAAGGGAAGACAGCTGGAAAGAAAAACGTCTCATGGTACTTCTCTTGACAGCATCTAAGAAAGTCCGGTTCAGAGAAAAACAAAGCAAAATCTGACCAAGAGTCTCTGGAGTCAAAAGGCAGGTTAGCCTCTGTGAGAAGTCAAGTCAAACTCAAGGAACCAATTGGTTTCAGGAGGAGAACCAAAGCATGAGAGAGTCTGTATGTATGTAGGGCAAAATCAGCTGGCATTTCTGCTCCATGGGAGCTGACAGTGGCACGGGGGGGAGCAGGGCCTGTGTGCTGACCTTAATATTTTAAGGATTTGTCAGGATAGACAGGAGATGAGCAAGATTCAGTGCAAGAGAAGGAGTCTGTCTTCATGGAGACAGACCCCTCTCTTCTGTAAAGACCTGTCTCCATCCCTGGTCACTGTTAGGTCCTTAAAGCTCAGGAATTTTTCCTAAACTGCTGTTCACTCCTCCCAAGGTTTTGTTTGCTCTTTGCTCACTGCTTTAACTTCACATCTCCTCAGATTCTCCACTAGCCTCTTGTGAGAGGTTTTGTCAAAAGCCATATACTGTTGACCTGCTCAGTCCGAAGTTTCTTCTCTGCTGGACAATAATATACATTGTGCATGGTACAAAACACTTGATGATGTGGTGGAGCCTACTGTTCGCAGAGAACAGAGTCCACCACCCGCCCTCCCAAGCTCATTAAACCTAAACCCAAGGACAGCCTTGAACCAAAGTCTTCAGTCTGTGCCAGAGACTCAAAGAAGTTCAGATCCAGCTTCATACTTCACAGCTCTGGCACCAAAGCCAAGACAACACCCCTTTCCCCCTAAACCTCCACGGTAAAACTCTCATCCAACATTTCCAGATGGTGCCACTTCTTGTGTTCCTGGCTGGACACAAACTCGTGAGACTGGAGCTAAATGCAGGCTTTCGACAAGACCAGTCACCCTGACTACCCCTCCATACAACTCCTTGCGAGCCCTCGGGAGGGGTCTGAAGAGAACATGTGTGGCTGAAGCACTTGCTGTAGTAAGATGATTGTCAAGCTGAGCCTTGGAAGTGATTTCTGGAAGCTGAAGGAATAAATTTCATGGAGATTTGCCTTCCTCAACAAGTAACTGTAGCAATGTGCTATTGAAAAAACAGTCCTGAAACTCATTGAGGGAGGGAAACTGGCAAAAAAGAACTTTAAAACAGGTCTTTAACAGCAGCATAAAATTTTTAAGGGTTGAACACCACGCACTTGTAAAAGCAGAAGGTCTAGGTCTGCTGCACAGGTGTCAGGAGTAATTATTTCCAGTTACTTATTGGGAAACACTTTAGATGTTTTGACTGCAAAGTGTAAAGGGCTTTGCCAGAAAACTCTGACATTGAAGAGGTGGAGGGAGAGGCAGGAAAAAGAGAGACAGAAGAAATAGGAGAAAACACAAAATGCATTTACACTCTAGTGAAGCAGTTGCCATTTTGACTGTTTTGTAGCCTTCCAGGGCTGATGACCTGAAGGGTCTGCCTTGAATCCACTGAAGCCGAGGAGAACCTTGCTTCCATCAGGTAGTAAGTCAAGTTATAAAAACATGGTTTAATTTGATTGTCATCCTCACATTTGCAGCTGGATTCAGAAGCGGCCAGTGCTCACTGGCTGGCCAGCTCTGGAGTCGCTCAAATCTGGAGTCTCGCCTCTGAAATCACCGACACTCCTGGTTTATTTGTTCGTTGTTACATACCGCAAAGTGAAGTTCACCCCTTCCAGGGTCCTGGAAGACAGACCTGGAAGGTCCCAGAGAAGCCAAATGCAAGTCTAAACCCCTCTCCAGAGCCTGCACTGATGGTGAACCTGCAGCTCTCCCCAAGCTCTCTGTCCCACTGTCTTGCTGCCTTCACCATTAAAAGTTTCTCATACAATCTGGAAGTCCCTTGTCAGGATGTAACCCCACCACCTTATCCACATGGACACAGGGAACAGGTACCTCCTTTCCTTACAGCAGCAGCTACCGGTACACCCAAAGCCTGTTACCATGACCTTCACATTAAACATCCTCAACGTTGAACCAAACCATGGCTGTCTCTTTTTACCAAGTCAAACAAAAGACAGGAAAGCCAACAACCCTGAGACCCTATGAGTGGGATAGTTTACTTACCCAAGTGAGTAAGGGCCTCTTTATCCCATGGCCAAGTGGCAGCACCAGCCAACTCTTCCCTCACTGAACTGGCGAAGTAGACGTTGAGGAAGTGGGTGCTGTTCAGCTGCAGTGCCTCCTTCAGCTCCTTCACGCTCATGTACGCCCTGCAAGGACAAGGGAAAGGAGATAGTCAGCGTAGACTTCAATGGAGCAAAGAGGAAAAGCAGAAGCCACTCATAGATATCCTGGAAAGGGTGCGGTAGACCTGGAGATTCTATCCTCAACTCTGAAATCAACTGCGTTTGGTAAAGGGTGGCAGAGTTCAGCCACTTTCAACAGGACGTCCCACGACACTACAAATTCTGCTCTGTAAGGTCCAAGTTTTGCTAGTCACGGGTTTGAGTGGGAGGCAGTCATGCAAACCTGAAGAAGTTTTGCTAATTACAGTAGCTTTGTTGATGAGTTCTACTCTTAGAGAAGGTTTTCCGACAATGGGGATAAGAGGAGACCCTGGAGAATACGATAAAAGGAGACAAAATGGGAGGAGAAACAATGAGAGAAGAAGGGAAATGCAGGTCAGCCCTGCTAGGGAAAAGAGAAGAGGTTTCGGCATCAGCAAAGTGGAGTTTGGGGTGTGTGTGGGGGGAGAAAATTTTCCTCAACATGTGAGGAAAGAGAAATGAATCCAGAACTTCAGCTGATTCCAACAAGGGTTTTCAGGGGTTGTCCCTGATACAGGTCAGGGCAGCAATGGACCTCAAACCTTATTCCTGGGAGGAGAGAGGGTTTGCCAAGAAGTCTCTTCTCAAATCTTCTCTAGTCTGGCTGGAGAAGCTCACAACCGTGGCCCTCTGCTCTATCCTTTTCCCCAGGACAACCGGTACGCCAGAGCTGGCAGTGCATGGTAAGAACAAGGGGTCCCTGCAGAGCACAGGCACATAAGACACCAAGAAACACGCTACCTCACCCCCATCCCTGTGCATTTTGTACAGAAGAGCATGAGCAAAAGGTATCTCAGAATTTGCTCCGAGAAATCTCTCTTCCAGCTCTGCTCAAAAACAGACCTTGGAGAAGAGTGCTGCCTGGGTCCTCCAAGCACTGAGCCAACATCAGGACCCTCTTCACATGAATCTGTCTCTCTGCATGTGGTCTGAATCCTCTCTGAGAGGAGGTCTGGGATGTCTGCAGGAGCCAGGGCAGGGAAGCACAGGAGCTCCCAAAATAAGCTTAATGGGGAGAGAGGGACATCTCTGGAGACAGATCCACTGAGAGGCATGTTTAGTGGGGAAAGCCTCCTGACAACACTGCTGGCTGTCTCTCCTCCCATCTCCAGAGCTGGGAATAAAGAGTTGCAGGAGCAGAAAAAATACTGGAATGGGGATATCCAAGACATCCGTTTTTAAATGGCACAGGAAGGTAATGGGCTGGGAGAGGTGGGTAGGCAATAGACGTTGCAGCAGAGCAGTAACACCCATGGGTATGTCTGGGTGCCCACAAAATGATCCTCACAGTGTGTCACGTCTCTCAGGACTCGGAGGAAAAAAACAAACCCAGCAGTCAGGAAATTTAGGTTCCGCTTTCCCCTCCACGTGGTTGTTTCTGCACAGGTCACAGGTCTATATTGCATTCACCGGTACACCAACAGTCCCAGCATTGATCTTTAGGGAGTTCATGTCCTCAGCCGTGTGAAACAATCAGGATCTAACTTAATAATAACAACAATAATTCCAATAATAATAATAATAGCAGTGGGATTGTAGGGCCTCGGGCTCTGCTGCAAATGCCAGATAATATTTTAAATCAAGTACTATCATTTCCACCATCAGTGCCGTTAACCTCATGGGCTGAGACAGGATTAGGACAGGTAGCCCTGGAAGACATTACCTCTAAGTATCTAAGACTTGCCTGTAAGTCTTCAAAATCTGAGGACCCTGACCCACGGTTTGCGAAGCCATTAATTTAAGAGAATTTAAGCAGGGAAAAAAACTCATGGAAAAGCTTCAAATACATCACTGTGGAATGATGATGGAAATGCACCATTGTGGAAATATGTCGTAAGAATGACTAAACCGGCAGCATAAGGCCAACAGCAACAGTAAGGTGGTGGAAAGCATTTCACTTATTCCCACGCTTCCAGGAGCAATTGGCATCTTTGAGCTGCACAGAGAGATTGGGAAGGGAATGCAATCATTTCTTTACACTGGACTAGCCATGAAGGCACACCGGCTATATTTGAACGAGCAGTTTTTACAAAAGTGGTGTCCATTACTGCATTCCTGACCGCATTCAGTTATGGAAGGATGGACAAAAAGCTGAGCACGGGCTAAGGGGAAAAAGGCATTTTCTAACCCAAGATGTGAAGTGAGAAGGGAAACCAACGAGAGATGTGCAAATACATGTCTGAGATGGCAAGATCCCTCGTCAAGTTATTATACCAACAGACTTGTTTAGAAAGAGAGAGGTTGCTACAGCAAATGGAAGAGAAGGAGGAAAAAGTGAAAAAATAGAGGAACAGGGTTCCAGAAGTAGACTAGAGCAGGATGGCAGGTGGAGCAGAGCTCGGTAAAGCCAAGGGCCACTTCCCTGGATGTGAAATAGCAGAGACTTTCAGAAGCCCTTGCTGATTTGGGAGGTGTCAGATAATCAGGATCTGTTGACTAACCAGTCAGTCACAATAGGTCATCCCAGGATGGAGACATCTCACCCACCTTCCCAGCAACAAAGCAGCTCTGAAACTTCTGTTACTTGAGAAAATCTTGGCTGGACTATATGGCAGCATTTAATGGTGAGATGAGATGACCAGCTTGTCTTCACTAGGCCCCAAGATCTCCCACCACAAAGCAGCATTCCCAGAACACTTTCCTCAGCCACATCAGCTTGCGGAGAGAAAACTCTCCCAACCGGAAACGACAAATTAGGAGAACATGATTTCTTCTCTGTGATGTCTCGCCTGAGCATCCCAGACACGCGCCACGCTGACGCCATCCCTTCAACCCAACCAAGACGGGAGCAGGCCGGGAGGAATAGATAGGGAGAAGAATAAATAAACCTGAAGGACATATTTGTGGCATGACTCGGAAGGAAGAGAAGCAAAAATTTCATAGAAATAGAGCATAAGGGGGGGGAAGGGGGAGAAAAAGACTCCTTCACGCACCAGAGCTGCTTGGGGTACACAGCTTTAAAAATAACATTGATTCCTGAACTATGATATCTTGGAAAAATAGCCCCAAACCCTTCCAAGCTGTCCAAATTCCGAGAGCTGACATCAGCCCTATTCAGAGGGATATTCCCGCCGCCTCTCTTCTGGAGACATGATGTTTTTCTGGCTGTCGCCTGCTGTTCCCTTGACACTAGCAACATTTTTTGTCAACCCTTAATTATAAATAACAGTAATTTCCTCCATTGAGAGATTTGGATGGTTCAGGGCTGTGCCAGAGATAGAGGGAGCAGTTCCAGCACCAAGAGATGCTCAGATGAGTTGGATGGACAAGGAGAAGAAAGGACCCCAGTTTCACCCATTACGGCATGGAAAGCACAAATATCCTACCAGCGTCCCCAAAGACATAAGCAAGACCAAAACAACTCTGGAATGGGCAACTCTGATTCCCCTCAATCCACATTTCCCACTGGCATCCTTAGCTTAGACAAGGAGCATGTAACTGGCGTCTTCGCCTGGTTGCTCACTGCCAAGGTTATGCTCTCCCTCCTCTCTTCAGCGCTTCTGTGACTTTCCCCAGGGGGAAGGCAGAGCAGCCTTTGGTCTCCACAAACAGCCTAAATGACAGCCCTCTCCTCTGCTCCTCAAATAGCTTCCCAATGCCTACAAGACCAAAGTATTCCAAACTAGATGGTATTTACAGCAAGGTGGGCACTGCAACCTAACACAGACCCACAAGGAAGGCTAGAAGGACACACGAAGGTACAGCTATCAGCTGAGGAGCACAAAAGACCCAATCCCAAAGAACAGGGCAGAGGATAGAAGAGAGACAGAGAAGGGCCATCAGGTTTGCCAAATTCAAAGTAAGTGTCTTTTCAAGAGCATCCAAAACTCATTGGTGAACAGCTAGCTGTGTGGTAATACCATCTTGACCTGGAGAGTATTTGCACCCCTCAGAGAGTGGAGCTTACAAGAAGAGTATATGCAAGAATAGAGCGAGATTAGGGATGGGAGGGTGATGGACTGTCACTGTTAGAAATGGGAATGGGCATGGGCATGAACACAGTCTGGAATTATGGTATTTGAGTGAATGAGTCCAGATATGATGGTCTCCCTCATGACAGGTGCTCACCTGTGACACCGTTGACTTCTGCTGAACAACACTAGCTGACAGTCAGACTCTAAGGCAGGCTTCGGCACCACACTGCCTACTGCTTTACTTGTGAGACTCATGGTTGACAGAAAGGAAGATGAAGAATAAGCAGCGCAGTGGAGCCACACTGACGCTTGTGTGGTCCTGGTGCTGGGTCAGGAGCACATGGCTCAGTATGGGACATAACGATGCGCTGTCATTGCGTGACATTTCCTGCTACTGAAAAAAGGAAGGGAAGATGAAGTCCAGCAGCTTCAGTAACTGTGTCACCACAGAACAGTAGAATCAGAGACTCATAACTGTGGACGGAGAGGATCTCCACACGTCACCTACTCTGACCTCCTTGTTCAAAACAGGTCTAATTAAATCAGGTTGCTCAAGGCCAAGTCCAGCTGAGGCCTGAACAGTTACATGGACAGAGGTTTCCCAACCTCTCTTGGCAACCTATTCTAGTATTTAGCCACCCTCATGGTAACAAAAATTCCTGATGTCTAATCCAAATTTCTCGTGTTCCAAATTGTGTCCATTGCTTCCCAGCCTCTGTCTTCTTGGAGTCCTGCTCCATCTTCTCTGTGTCACCTCATCATATCAAATGGGAAAGCCATCAAACGACTATAGCTTTGCATGGAAAACTATTACTGCACTAGACCTTACCACACTAAGGTCTGAAGACCCAAAGCTTCCTTTCTGAGCAGCTGAAAAAAAACACACTCCATCCATGATCCCAGGCCTCCCTGGAGAGCCCTCACATCCCTTTCTCCTGCTTTTCCTTGGACAATTTTGTCCTAACCCATGGGGGAGAGTGCATCTTTCTACTCATGGTTGTAAGTTAGGCTCTGGGCTGGCTTGATCAA